CAGCCTCAGCAACAGCCTCAGCAGCAGCAACAGCCTCAGCAGCAACAGCCTGAGCAGCAGCAGCAACAGCCTCAGCAGCAACAGCCTCAGCAGCAGCAGCCTCAGCAACAGCCTCAGCAGCAGCCTCAGCAGCAATAGCCTCAGCTGCAACAGCCTCAGCAGCAGCAGCCTCAGCAGCAGCAGCCTCAGCAGCCTCAGCAGCAGCAGCAGCCTCAACAGCAACAGCCTCAACAATAGCCTCAGCAACAGCCTCAGCAGCAACAGCCTCAGCAACAGCCTCAGCAGCAACAGCCTCAGCAGCAGCAACAACCTCAGCAGCAGCAACAGCCTCAGCAGCAACAGCCTCAGCAGCAGCCTCAGCAGCAACAGCCTCAGCAGCAGCAACAGCCTCAGCAACAGCCTCGGCACTTTGAACACGAGATTCAACTCCAAAGACTTTGTGCTGCTGTAGGTGATGAGATACCCCCGTCACGAGCGGGAGAATGCGTGCCTGCTGGTTTCCCAGTGGGGACGCTTTGTAACACCTCTGTGCCCCACAGCAACAAGGCCCTGGGTTAGATTGCTGACTGTGTGGGGTCTGCAGCTCCTCTGGTTTCCTCCCCGAGCTGAAACGTGCAATGTCAGTGGTGTTGGCCAAACATCCCAAAGTAGCGGGCCCCTCCTGAAAAAAGGAGAGTGTGGATTTCCTGAGTAGATCACTACACAGTTAAAATATTGCGTAAATAACATTTAACAGACAGGCACATGTGAAGCTTCTACTCGGGATCAGCAGGAAAGGCGCGACTCCCATCCATACGGCCGTCGTGGGGCAGTAACGTGGCCGGCGCCGTGCGTATGTCTGCCTGAGCCTCTCGAGCGACGTCCTCTCCGCACGGCCGAATCCTCCACCGAAACTAGAAACTAAACTTTTTATTTTACTTTACCACGTAATGCCCCTTGAGCTGCTATGTAAGCTCTTTTTCAGAAGCCACCTGCCTATCACAAATGATAGCTCAAGCAAGTGGCTCATCACGTAGAAATTGATAGCAGCCAAATGCTCTAAACGCGTGTTTCTAAATGTCGAGGGAAAAACCGGAGGACCCCGAGAAAAATCCACATGACCACGAGGAGAGAGAGAGAGACGCGCAAACTCCAAATATACAGCAGCAGACGTCAGGTTCGGGATCGAACCCTCGAAATCCTGTTTGCCAGGCGAGGTAGTTCACATCTCGGCCACCGAGAAACAGAGGCCCCCCCCCTCTGCCAGCTTGCGTCACGGCCAACGTCCCCGAGAGGCAGAGGTCTCTCCGCCTCCCCCCGGCGGTTGGGAAAACGCTGGGCAGATGGCGCTCGCTGTGTCTCCGCGCGCCACCTGCGATTGATTTAGCACAGCGCCGCTGATGAAGAAGCCCCCGCGGGTCGGGGGTCGGGATTATTCTCTGTTTTTGTTTTCATTTTCAGCCATAGAGGTCTCCCTTTGATCCCCCGGCGTCTCGCTCTGATCCTGCGTCTCGGGGCGTTATCTTTGGGTGGGGGGGGGGGGTGCGGTGAGAGTTGGGGGGGGAGCTGGGCAGGGAGGTCGTGAGAGAGGGGGCTGCGTGCGTGAAGGGTGAGCAGAGCAGAGGGCAGCGGGGGCACAGTGGTGGAGAGCGGCTGGTGAGGAATATTCTATTGAATTACAGTGAGTGTATTTATACTGCGAGATGTGGCTGCATGTCAGTGGGGATATTTATTTGATATCAGAGGGAATGAGGAGAGAGGCCGTGAGCCTTGGGCTTGAATAGTGGCAGGGAGTCGATGGCACGGATGGCTGGGGAGGGAAGGGAGTTCCAGGCCGTGATTCGGGGTCACGATTCGAAGTGCCCTTTGTGTGACGGAGCTGGCCAAACATCCCAATGTAGCAGCACCCTCCTGAAAATGTGTCTTGAGACTCGGCGTGATGTTTCCTGGGTAAAATAACCGTCATTCTATTGATTTACACCGTGTACTGTACCGCAACACGATATAACAATTTGCGTGCTTGTGGATAATATCCCTGATGTGACTGATATTGTCTGCATCAATGCAAATATGTTATTGTGTTGCGTACAATACAGTTTTGTCTCAAACTCGGACCCATATTTTACAGAGAGATCCCTTGACAATTCTAGATTTGAAGCTTTCGTGACTGCAAGGATCCATACTCTTTGGTTCTATTCGGTAAAGTCACGTAGGTAAAAAATAAAAATAAAAATCACCACGTTTCGGCCACAACGCAAGTGGCCTTCATCAGGTGAAGGGACCGTGCTGTCACGAAGACAGCGTTGGAATTAAGAAAGTCAAGCCAGGTCGCGTCCTTTAAGCTTTGTGGGAGGAAACCAAACGCTTTGACAAAGGAATTAGCATAAAGTGCTGATAGAACACTTAACACGGGGGGGAGGGGGAGGGGAGTTTACAAACGTTGTTTTGAAGGGATACATATATAGTAGGCGTTACTAAAAAGATCTCCAAAATTCTAAACAAACACAAGATCCTGGTCCGGTTCAATACAGTACACAAAATCCGTGACCTGATCCCATCCGTGAAGGATGTCATTCCTGACTTACAGTACCCCGGGGTTTACAAATTGAGCTGCACTTGTGGTGATTGCTATATCGGGGAGACGAAGCGATATGTCTCTGACCGAATTCGCGAGCACAAATCAGATTTGAAACACGGCAGAACGAATTCTTCTGCCGTGGCTGACCACTGTTACAACGCTGTGGGTGATCACGATATAGTGTTCTCCGATACCAAGGTCCTTTGCAAACCAATAGGTTATCATCAGAGATTTATCCACGAGGCAATTCAGATTTACAAACACAGACACAATTTCAACCGAGAAGATGGTTTCAAATTAAGCAATCATTGGAAAGATGTTCTAAATCATACCAAACATGAAACTAATTTTCAATGGCACAGTATATTTATCCAAGTAGTGATATACCAAACTTTCACAGCAGCTTATTTCCCTTCAAAACGACGTTTGTAAACTCCCCTCCCCCCGTGTTAGGTGCTCTATCAGAATTTTAGGCTAATTCCTTTGTCAAAGCATTTGGTTTCCTCCCACACAGCTTAAAGGACGCGACCTGGCTTGACTTTCTTAATTCCTACGCTGTCTTCGTGACAGCACGGTCCCTTCACCTGATGAAGGCCACTTGTGTTGTAGCCGAAACGTCGTGATTTTTGTTTTATTTTTTACCTACGTGACTTTACCGAATAGAACCAAAGAGTATAGATCCCTTGACAATCAACATCTAGCAGTTCGCCAGCCTTGGTTTAAGCGAGCCCTACTCTGCCAAGTATTTTTATGTTTAACTTCTTTCGCACCTACGTAGCTAACCGTGCTAATTGGAGGTACCCATTCAACGCTTGCCCAAATGAGATTCTTTAGCTTAATATTATTAACGTAATACTTGTTATGATTCATCCAAAGTATAAGATGGTGTCACATTGAGGCTGTTGGAGTAAATAGAAGTACAATAAGCAAGACCATGAAAAAAATCATAAATAGTAGAAACATCAACAGAGGAGTGTGGGGAAGGAGACGACCCGGCGGTTGTTGGCTGCTGTTGAGCGCCGCGCGCGCAGCTGTGAGTCTTCTCGGCAGAGCGGCGGGGCGAGTCCATTAACCACTTGACTCCTACGCGGGCCGGGGGACACGGGGCCATGCGCAGGGCTTCGCGGGACGTGTCCGCTTGCGTGTCCGCTGGCGTGTGCGTGTCCGTTAGCTTGTCCATTAGCGTGTGCGTTGGCGTGTCCGCCGGCGTGTGCGTTAGCGTCGCTGGCGTGAGCCCTGCACACAGTCTGCATGACGGATGTTGTTCTCTGTGTTTTCGGATAACCCCGCATTTTTTGCGGAATGATGCTGACCGGAGCATGGATCACGGCATTGTGGGGGATGTGGGAGGGTATCACGTGTGTGTGTGTAGGTGTTTACCTCTGTGTGAGGAGCGGTGGTGCAGCGGTTAGCGCGCTGTGCTGTGGACCTGGCGACCAGGGTTCGATTCCCGCTCACGGTTAACAGCAGTGACGATTGTCTGAACCGGTCCCGGGCCTCCCCTGGGTCGACTCAGCCTCAAATGAGACAAAAGCGGCCTTCGTAGGTGCTCGCTAACAGCACTTGTTTCAGGCTCTGCGGGGGATCTTTGTCCTTAATCCGGTGTGTTTATGTGTGTGTGGAGCGGTGAGAGAGAGCCCGCTGCACTACTACAAGCCTGGAGACCCGGCCACGGTTAACATCAGCTGTGAGCGATATCTGAACCGGTCTCGGACCCCCATTCCTTCCCCCCAAAAAAAGACACTGCCAAGTTCCGGTCTTCTCCTAGGTCGCCTCAGCCTTAAAATGTGCATCTGTTGCAGTGTGCAAACTTCAGCACTGCGGAGGCAAAGGCGGCCCGGCGTGGTGCAGTCCGCTCGTGTGCCGTGACGTCCTTAATAGGTGGTCGCTAACAACACTTGCCCGCGCAACCTGTGGGCTGTATGGGGGATCTTTGTCTTGTGTGTGTGTGTGGGGAGCAGTAGTGTAATCGTTCACTGCACTACGAAGCCAATGGCCTGGATTCCATTCTTCGTCATGGACAGCATCAGCGGCGAGTGTTGTCTGACCCTGCCCGGGGCCTCCCCGAGATGGATTCAGCCATAATTAAGTACCTGGTGCTGTGTGAATATCAGAACCAGGGAAGACAAATGCGACCAGGCTTATTACAATTCATCCCACCTATGATTTGATTCGCCCCCCCACCCGACCCACTCCAAGACCCGGACCGTACCGACTGAGCCTGAGCACAATGAGGGCGAAGGACGCGAGCACCGACTAAGAAATACAAATTAATTTGGCTGAGCAATGCCCTCCTCACTGCGTCCCCGCCGCCCGGAGTAGTTAAACTTGGCTACCTCGTGGTATCGTGTGTCCACTAACGCTGTGCCCCTTCGGCCTGCCCCTTGCCCTTTGACCCCTGCCCCCCCGACCTCCAACCCCCCCCCCCCCCGACCGGCCGCAGTGTGCCGCCGCGTGCTGTGTGGGTTTGGCGCGACGTGCGAGCGCGACCCCGAGGAACCGGACCGCGGGGTGTGCGTGTGCCGCCGCGCCGACTGCCTGGCCGTGGTGGCGCCCGTGTGCGGCTCGGACGGCGCCACCTACGCCAACGAGTGCGAGCTGGAGCGCGCCCAGTGCACGCAGCAGCGCCGCATCCGCGTCAGCAGCCGCGGGCCCTGCGGTGAGTGACGTCGCCGTTCGCCGGTCCGTCTTGGGGGATGTGACGCCTTAGCCACGTCCGTCCGTCCATCAGTCTGTCCGTCCGTCCGTCTGTCTCAGGTTTTTATTTATTCCACGAGTTTTCCACCCACGAGCCTCTCCAGCAAAACGGCTCCACCGCTGGGCCTAGGAGGATATTTTAAACAAATAGATGAATGTGATAATTGACATATATAAGGCGCAATTCATCCAGGGATCTCAGTGCACCATGCAAGACATCGGGAAATATAAATCCTACAATGAATGCACATAATTCATAAAGAAGTTAACTTTAATCAATGACACTCACATGCACTAAAATAACGGCTTGATATTGCGAAGGAGTCGAACAGTACACTTAATCACATTTCGTGATGTTGAAAACAATCAAATTTCCCGGGCATAGCTTCAGTCAGAGCTGGCAACCTCCTCACTCCCTCCTCCTCCTCCCTCTTCCGATCCGCCATCCCACGCGCACCTCTCCTCGCGATTCCCCTGCAGCAGCAGCAGCAGCTGCGGTGGCGACAGTGGCCTCCCAGCTGTCGCTGTGCCCCTGGGTGGGCCTGGACCCCTCCTAGACGAGGTTGCACAATCGGCGAGCCGAGGGAGCCGTCAAGCGCCCCGCTCCGTGTTTACAGAGACACCGCAATGGGGACCGCCCGGCTTGCAGAGTCGCCGCGACCCCACGCTGACCCCGCTCGGACGGCGCTCAGATCTTTGTCTTTGTGCTTGCGTACGAGGATCGGCGGGGCGCGGCGGTTAGTGCGCCGCGAACCTCAACAGCACCGGGTTCGATTCCCCACTCGCGACCAGTAACGGTGACGAATATTAGAGCCGATCTTGGGCCTCCCGTAGGTCGACTCCACCTTAAACGAGTGCCCGGTGCGGTGTGTACAAAACATCGGCATTGACCGCCCAACCTCCTCGCGCGCCGTGCCGTGCTCCTTAGGCGCAGCTCGCGAACGGCGCTTGTCCCGACGGCCCGTTAAAGGCCACGCGGGGGATCTTTTGTCTCTCGCAGGGGCGCGCGAGCCGTGCAGCGGCGTGGCCTGCGGCCTGGGCGCCTCCTGCGTGTCGGTGCCGGACGGCTCGCCGCCCCGCTGCGTGTGCCCTTCCTCGTGCGCCAGCGCCGCCAATGCCAGCGTGTGCGGCACTGACGGCGTCACGTACCGCAGCGCGTGCGACATGAACAAGCGCGCGTGCGAGACGGCCACCGACATCCGCTACAAGTTCGCCGGGGAGTGCGGTGAGTGCCGTACGGCTGGTGGGTCGGTCACGCGGAGATGGGCGCTGCCAAGTCCAAAATAAACTCCTGGTTGGAGATCCACTTACCACTGGTGGAACCATCAACTCACCCACCCACTCACCCACTCACCCACCCACCCACTCACCCACTCACCATTGCTGCAACCATCAACTCACTCACTCACCAACTCACCCACCCACTTACCACTGGTGGAACCATCAAATCACTCACCCACCCACCCACTCACCCACTCACCACTGCTGCAACTATCAACTCACTCACCAACTCACCCACCCACTTACCACTGGTGGAACCATCAACTCACCCACCCACTCACCCACTCACCCACCCACCCACTCACCCACTCACCATTGCTGCAACCATCAACTCACTCACCAACTCACCCACCCACTTACCACTGGTGGAACCATCAAATCACTCACCCACCCACCCACTCACCCACTCACCACTGCTGCAACCATCAACTCACTCACTCACCAAGTCACCCACCCACTTACCACTGGTGGAACCATCAAATCACTCACCCACCCACTCACCCACTCACCACTGCTGCAACCAACAAATTCGTCAGGATCATCGTGTGTGGCCTAACGCACAAATGAATGATGAGAGTCCTCGCAGGTTACATTTGTTACGCTCCCCTCCCTCTCCGCTCCCCCTCGGTAGACCCGTGCGCGGCCGTGACGCCGGGCCCCGACGAGGTGTGCCGCGTGGCACCGCGGTCCCGCAAGGCGGTGCTGCTGCCGCCGCCGGAGTCGTGCCCCGAGGGCGACGCGGGCGCCGTGTGCGGGGACGACGGCGTCACCTACGCCAGCGAGTGCCACTTGGAGCGCGCGGGGGCGCGGGCCGGCCTGAGGCTGCGCAGGCTTCACGGCGGGCAGTGCGCCCAGCACGGTACCCTTGCCACGGTGACGACGCGGGCGGCACGGATAATGGTGGCGGTGATGGTGACAGTGTGACAGCACGGTTGGCGTGGATGATGATGCTCATGATGGCGAGGTTGATGAGACTGATTGATAATTAAGGGGATGGTCGTGATTACGGTGACAAAATTGACAGCGTAGTTGACGAAGACAATGATGATGCTGTTGACAACGCAGATGGTGATTGTGACGATCATAGCGATGACGGTTGTGGCGATGACGACGATGACGGCAATTATCCTGATAGAAGAGTGGCAGCGTGTCGGTGACCACCGGCCAGACCCGCGCTGAGCACGACCCCCAGAACCCCCGTGCACCAAAACCCCACGGCGCCAACCACGGCGCGGGCCCGGGCGGCCGCATCGTCGGGTGACGTTAACCCCTCCCCCCCCCCCCCCGGCCACCTCTCCCCTCCCTTTTCCCCGCCATCTCAGAGCGGTGCCCACGCCCGTGCCAGCACGGCGCTCTCTGCGCCGTCTCCGGCGGGGTGGCACGCTGCTCGTGCGAGCGCGTTGCGTGCGACGGCGCCTTCCGCCCGCTGTGCTCCGCCGACGGGCGCACCTTCGGCAACGGATGCGAGCGGCAGCGCGCCGCCTGCCTGGAGGGGGCCGACGTCCCCGTGGAACACGAAGGGCCCTGCAGTGAGTGCCGCCGGGGGCAACGCGGGCGGTCGCGCGGCACCCTCGGAATTTTAATGCTAATGATATTGATTAATCCCGCGGTGGTGGCGAGATGTTATCTCCCTCGCCTGGTTTGCAGGAGGTCGTGGGTTCGATCGCGACCCAGACGCCTGTTGTACATTTCGAGTTTGCGTGTCTCTCTCCCCGTGGTCGCGTGGATTTTTTTCTGGGTCCTCCCTCCATGTTTAGGAACATGCGTTTAAAGTTTTTGGCTGCTATCAATTTCCACGTGATAAGCCACTTCGTTGAGCGATCTTTTATGCCAGCCAGGTCGCTTCTTGAAAATATCTATATAGCAGCGCAGAGGGTCTTACCTGGAAGAATAAAACATAGTTTAGTTTTGGAATTAATGACGATTGAGAGATTGCAAAGCGCGCTACGGGTATCCGTTCGCCGCCCTCGGATTGGAGGGCGGGGAAAACGATTCAGACGCGCGGTAAATCACAGACGACGAGGGAGGCAGCCAGAACCTGGCACCCACAATTGCATAAGCTCTGTGGTCCTATCTTGGGATGCTTGGCCAACTCCATTGCCAAGTGTTGAGACACGTGGGAGGAAACAGGAGTGTCCGGAAAAAAAACTCCACGGAACAAATTAATCCCACTTGCTGTCGTGTCCCACACCCTGGCTGCCTAACCGCGACCTTGACGCCCCGGTTAGGGAGGGAGTTTCACGAGCGCACGCGCGCGTGTCTGTGTGATCCACCAACCCTCTCGGCTCGCACAGTGATGGCTCAAAGTGTAGCCACGGGCGTTATTCACACGCACGCTCTCATTCCGTATTGACAACCGCCAGGTGGGCTCGCCCATCATCATCATCATCATCCTTTCGGGGTCAATAAAATAGCCACCACTTTGTTAAGGAGTCAACGGTGGTTGTCCTATGGATGGACTTGCCGCTGCCATGGGAATGTGTAATTTCCACCACTAGCTCTGCAGGGCTGTAAACGGGAAATGAGCCACAAGGCCTCAATGCATTGGTGCTCATCTGCATCCTTCTGCTCTCGTCCTCACGACGCCACCCTCCCCGCACCCCCAGATGTGCAACCTCCGCGTACGCTCACCCCCGCCAATCCTGTGTGCGGCGCCCCCACCGTCTCGTGCCTCCCCCCCCCCCCCCGCAGAGCCGCTGCTGGCGAGCCCGTGCCAGGGCGTGCGGTGCGGGATGGGCGCTCGCTGCGTGCTCAAGGGCGGCGCGCCGGTGTGCGAGTGCCAGGCCGTGTGCCCGCCGCACGTTTACGAGCCGGTGTGCGGCGCCGACAACCACACCTACGCCAGCACCTGCGAGCTCGAGAGCATGGCCTGCGCCATGCAGCGAACCATCGGCGTGCACCACCGCGGGGCCTGCGGTGAGGGCCGACGCGGCACGCTTGGCGCACGAGCGGCACGCGCGCGGCTCGTGGCTACGCACGCGGCACGCCGCACGCACGGCACGCGAGCGGCACAACGCTCGCGTGTTGAGCGGCACAACGCTCGCGTGTTGAGCGGCACAACGCTCGCGTGTTGAGCGGCACAACGCTCGCGTGTTGAGCGGCACAACGCTCGCGTGTTGAGCGGCACAACGCTCGCGTGTTGAGCGGCACAACGCTCGCGTGTTGAGCGGCACAACGCTCGCGTGTTGTGCGGCACAACGCTCGCGTGTTGAGCGGCACAACGCTCGCGTGTTGTGCGGCACAACGCTCGCGTGTTGAGCGGCACAACGCTCGTGTGCCGCTCAACACACGCAAGCCGCGCGAGGAGGGTTTCACCCATTGCGGCGTACCCAGGAACGCTTCCGAGATAGACTTCCCTACGAAGACTCGCGTGATTCCACGGGCAAAAACCGGGTTACGAACGAGAAGCGAACGACGATTTAACACGTAGGCTTTCGAAAACCTCTATTATGGACAAACGACGATTGTCGAATGTCGCGTGAGACGCCGCTGCTCGGCCACCGACGGCCCCTCGGTCGGAGTTTCGACGTCGGCGACTCGGCCCACGCGGCCCGTGAAGAAAAATCCACGGCGAGAATTTGGGGGCCGCAGCCCCCAAACCGCGGCCCTCCAGAGACGGCGGCGGCACCTCCCCCGGCGCTCGGCCTCCAGTGCCGCGGCCGCGGCCGCCAGATCCTCGCGTGGCCCAACCGCGACGCTTAAACCAGACCCCGGCGCGCCCGCGCGGAGGGACCGTGAGCGTCCTCTGCCCCCCGACCCCCGTGAGTTACGAGCCGACGGGGGCCCGGCCCGGCCGCGTGTTCCCGTGACGTCCCCGCCGCTCGCGCCCGCCGCCGTTCGCGTCTCATTAAACCGCGGTCTCGGCGTCCCGCTGAGCCGGCGATCCGGTGCGATGGAGACGCCTCCCTGGGCCTGAGCCCGAGCTCAGCGCGTCTCCGCACGAGCCGCTCCGCTTTGTTTTCTGTTCTCTGCGCGTCGCGACGGCGCGGCTTACACCGTAAGCTGCTGCACCGCTGCTCCCGCTGTGTTCCCCGTACTAACTGTGCCGTGAACCTTGCCTCTGGCAGGCTGCCTGAACTAGCAAGGTGCCTGGCTGGGAGCCTGACTAGCAAGGTGCCTGGCTGGGAGACTGACTAGCAAGGTGCCTGGCTGGGAGCCTGACTAGCAAGGTGCCTGGCTGGGAGCCTGATTAGCCGTGTGCCTGGCTGGGAGCTTGACTAGCAAGGTGCCTGGCTGGGAGCCTGACTAGCAATGTGCCTGGCTGGGAGCCTGACTAGCAAGGTGCCTGGCTGGGAGCCTGATTAGCCGTGTGCCTGGCTGGGAGCCTGATTAGCCGTGTGCCTGGCTGGGAGCCTGATTAGCCGTGTGCCTGGCTGGGAGCCTGATTAGCCGTGTGCCTGCCTAACTGGTCACCTGGTTCGGCACATGACCTGTAGAGCACCTGCCTGATTTCCAGCCAAGTTCCATGCAATTCCGGCCGCTTGGCCAGGCGGCCGGCTCATTGACTGTGGGGCTGCGCGTCTGCCTGGCCGACTGACCACTTGCTTACATGCCTGTCTAACTGCCTATTTAACTGCCTGTCTAACTGCCTGTTCGCTCGTCTGTCTGTCCGTGCGTGGGTGCGGCCGTTTGCCCGACTCCGTGACACCGTTACGACCGATCCTCCTTGGCGGTGACGCTGCACGGCTGTGACTCCCCCCAACCCCCGTTGGACCGCGCTCGCCCGCCTCCCTCGCCCGCCCGGCCCGCCCGGCCCGCCCGGCCCGCCCGGCCCGCCCGACCCGCCCGGCCTGTCGTCTCGACCCCGGCCGTCCCCGCACCGCCGATCGGCGCAGACCGCTGCTCGGGCTGCCGGTTCGGCGCGGTGTGCGACGGCGAGGCGGGGCGCTGCGTGTGCCCCGGCGTGTGCGCGGGCGCCCGCAGCCCCGTGTGCGGCACGGACGGGCGCACGTACGCGGGCGAGTGCGACATGAACGTGCGCGCGTGCGCGGAGCAGCGCCACATCGCCGTGGCGTCCCGCGGCGAGTGCAGTAAGTGTCCCGCGGCGCTGGAAATTCCACATCGCCCTGGTAGAGGGCGGCTTCTACGCGCTGCCCCGTCCTGCGCTGGCTGGTTGGCACGTCCCCTCCCTCCCCGCGATGGCCCTGCTGTGGCCGCCGCCACTGCCGATGCTCTTAGGCTGCGGTCGTCCTTCTGACGGAGCTGCTCGATGCGGCCTCACCGGCCGAGTCTCCGGGTCTCGTGAATGCACAACGTTGCTCCGAGTTGCAATGCGGTCGAGCAACAAAGACCCCGGCACCACGCGTACACGTGTCCAAAAGCAAACCCAAGCACGTGTGTGTGTCGATATGCGTGCCCCACGTGTTTGTGTGTGCATTTGTGTGTCCACACTCGTGCGACTGCGCGCGCGTGTGCGGCGTCCGTGCGTCAGGCCGTGTGTCCGCTGCGTGCACGTACGTGCTTTTGTATACTTCCGCGTGTCCGTCCGTGTCTCCGCGTGTCCGTCCGTGTCTCCGCGTGTCCGTCCGTGTCTCCGCGTGTCCGTCCGTGTCTCCGCGTGCCCGTCCGTGTCTCCGCGTGTCCGTCCGTGTCTCCGCGTGTCCGTCCGTGTCTCCGCGTGTCCGTCCGTGTCTCCGCGCGTCCGTCCGTGTCTCCGCGTGCCCGTCCGTGTCTCCGCGTGTCCGTCCGTGTCTCCGCGTGCCCGCGCACGTGAACGCCCCTACGTGCGCGCGCCCCTCCCGCCCCCGCCCCTTCCCCCGCCCCGATAGAGACGTGCGGCGGGGAGGTCTGCTCGTTTGGCGCCGTGTGCCTGTCCGGGCGCTGCTCGTGCCCCCCGTGCCCCCCGGGGGAGCGCGGCCCCCCCGTGTGCGGGAGCGACGGGCGCACGCACCCCAGCGCCTGCGAGCTGCGCGCCACGGCCTGCCGCCTGCGCGAGGTCCTCAACGTCACCCACGACGGCGCCTGCGACGGTACGCCCCCCCGCAGGCCCTCGTCCCACGCGCGGGGGTCACGGGGGGTCACGGGGGGTCACGGGGGGTCACGCTCTTTATTTCTTTGGGCCAATTTTAAGCGCCTGGCCCATAATCCAGCAGCAGGGGTTGGTGGATCACCGCACGAATGTTGCGAGGCTCCCTGCACGTGGGTGGGCGTCGAGGAGGAGCCGTACCCCTGGTTCGCCAGGAGAAGGCGGCGCGGCAGAAATGTGGACTCCACCTGTTCCATTTGTACGGGGATAGAGTGTTTCTCCCTCGCACGCCTGGCTTTTCTCCGTGTGCTCTGCTTTCCTCCTAACATGTAAACATTCGTCTATTGGCCGATAACGCATTCATATGGATAGAGGATGGAAGAACTTTGGCAATTGTTGGGAGCACCGCGTAGCTGCTGCTAATCTCGCGCCTCTCAGTCGCCCTCTCTCCTCGAGAACCAGTTCGTGTCTGCCTGTCCATGCCACCATCAATCTGACTATATACCTACCTCCATTTGTCCGTGTGTGTGTGTGTGTGTATGCCTGCGCGTCCGTATGTGCGTGTGTGTCTGTGCGGATCTGTCTGTTCGTGCGTCCGCGCGTGCGTGTATACCCGTGCGCGTATGCGTGCGTGTGCGTTTGCGTATGCGTGCGTGTGCGTGCGTGTGCCCGTGCGAGCGTGTATACCCGTGTGCGTGTGCGTGCGTGTGCGCCGCGTGCCCGCGCGTGCGTGCGTGCGTGCGCGCTCTCAGACTGCGAGGAGGAGGGGGGCGAGGGCGGCGTGTCGGGGTCGGGCTCCTCGGGCGACGTGTGCCTGGAGGAGCGCTGCCTGCGCTTCGGGGGCCAGTGGGACGACGACGTCGAGGACACGCGCTGCCTCTGCGACTTCGCCTGCCACAGCGTCGCGCTCAGCCCGGTGAGGGCCCCCGCCCGCCCAATCCTGCGCGGCAGCGCCGCGCTGCGCTACGAACGCGGCCACCCGAGTTCAATTCCCGCTCGCGGCCAACGCCGGTGACGACTATTTGAACCGGTCGTGGGCCTCCCCTAGGTGCACTCAGCCTCAAATGAGTACCCGGTGCGGTGCGTAAACATCGCCGGTGGCGTTGGGCACCCACCCCGTCGTTTTCGATGTCGGCCTTCGTCGCTGCTACTCGCTAACAGCACCAACAGTCTGTTGAGGCTCTATTGGGAACCTTGTCTTCGCGCGTGCTTGCAGGTGTGCGGCTCGGACGGGGTGACGTACGGCAGTGAATGCGAGCTGAAGAAGGCGCGCTGCGACCGGCAGACGGACCTCACGTTAGCGCGGCTCGGACCCTGCATCAGGGGTGAGCGCATGCGTGTACTGTATATGCACAAGCGTGCGCGTGTACTGTATATGCACATGCGGAGCGGTGGCGCAGCGGTTAGCGCGCTTAAACTTTTAACCCGGCGAACCTGGCTTTCCGCTCACGATCAACAAATGGCGAATATTTAAACCAGTCCTGGGTCTCTCCTAGGTAGTGTTAGCCTTCATTATCCGGTTCAGTCTGAAACATCATCACTGGGTAGACAAAAGCGGCCACCCACCCTCTCGTGTGCCGTGCCGGTCTTCATAGGTACTCGCTAACAGCACTTGCCCAACAGTCTGCTCAATGCTATACTCGGGATCTTTGTCTTTGTCATTGCAGATGATTGTGGGGAACAAATTCCCAAACAAACAATACCTCTCCAGACTCAACGTGAAATAGTGCCCCATTGTGCGAAGCTGTGCTGCACACGTGTGCACGTGTGAGTGTGCGTGTGTATGAGTTTATGTGCACGTGTGCGTGCGTATGAGTTTGTGTGCGCGTGTTCACGCACGTTAACGCACGCGAAACTCCTCCCCCGTACCCCCTCACAGAGCCTGCCCCCCTTCCCACGACCTCCGCCGACCCCGTGGCCCACTGCAGCCAATCGGTGTACGGCTGCTGCCCCGACAACCAGACAGCTGCCCTCGGCGTAGGGCTCGCCGGCTGCCCCAGTGAGTGGGGGCTAACGGTGACACGCACAGGACGTGACGCACGAGGTGTCACGCGCGGGACGTGATGCGCGAGACGTGACGGTTGTACGTGACGTTTGTATTTCGTGAATCCAAATCGTTTTGTACGATTTGGCTCATACCACGCTGCACGCTCACGCTCACGTCCTGGCACGTGTCCCTCGCACGTGTCGCCACTCAGGCACGTGCGCGTGTAACCGGCACGGCGCGTACGGGGCGAGCTGCGACGCGGCGACGGCCCAGTGCTCCTGCAAGCCGGGCGTCGGAGGCCTCAAATGCGACCGCTGCGAGCCCAGCTTCTGGAACTTCCGCGGCATCGTGGTGGAGGAGCAGCCCGGATGCATACGTACGGAGGCGTGGTGGTGGTGGTGGTGCGGTGATTGGGTGGTGGTGGTGGTGCGGTGATTGGGTGGTGGTGGAGGTGGTGGTGATTGTGGAGGTGATGATGGTGGTGGAATCGATGATGGTGGTTGTTGAAGTGGTAATGGTGGTGGCGATGATGGTGATGGTGGTGGTAGTGGAGGTGATGATGGTGGTGGTTAAGGTGGTGATAGTGGTGTAGGTGGTGGATCTGATGATGATGGTGTGGGTGGAAGTGACGATGATGATGATGATGATGGAGGTGACGATGAAGATGATGATGATGGAGGTGACGATGACGATGCGGTTGCTCTGCTGCCCCCGTTACTGCCCAGCGTGCAAGTGCGACCCAGCCGGCTCCGTGCGGGACGACTGCGAGCAGATGACCGGACGCTGCTCCTGCAAGGACGGCATCCTGGGGCCCAAGTGCAGCCAGTGCCCGCCCGGGGAAGCCATGGGGCCCGCGGGCTGCCGGGAAGGTACGGGGAGGGGGGCAGCGGTGGGGGGGGATCGGAGCGGAGTTGGTGCAGGGCCCCCAAGACGCAGCAGCAACCGTCTGTGTGAGACACGCGTGTGCGGAGACACGCGTGTTCGGGAACACGTGTGACGATTCTGGCGCCCCATAGTCCGGTGACTTGTAGCGATTCGAGGTCACGATTCTAGAGCTGATTATTTTGCGTCTCCCTGTGCATACGCCTCTGTCGCGTCTGTACTGTCTCAAGTAATCTGTAATAGTCGTTTAAGTGACTACGTGGGTGTCCACGACCGTGCGCGTGACCCCCAGAGCCGACCCCGGCCTCCTGCGGGCTGCTGTCGTGCCGCTTCGGCGCCGTGTGCGTGGAGGAGGGCGGCGCCGCTCGCTGCGAGTGCCCCACCGCGTGCTCCGAGCGCAACCTCACCAGGGTGAGCCGCCGCCACCGCCCGACCCCCGCGCGCCCGCTTGCTCGCGTGATTACCGTCGTCATCGCGATCCGTGGGCGGATAGCCCCGTAGGTGTCCGCTGGGCATTTCGTCAGTTGTTTCCACTTCCCTCTGCCTTGCAGCGCCAGTGTGCTCAAGAAGTGGCCGCATCTTTCTGGCGGCAACCTCTGAAGCCACTCTCTGTCGTGCGTGCGTGTAGGTGTGCGGCACGGACGGGGTGACGTACGCCGATCGGTGCCAGCTCTTCACCATCGCATGCCGCCAGGGCACAGCCATTTCCATCGCGTCCTACGGGCCCTGCCCAGGTCTGGCAAGCGGCGTGCTCCGTCAAAAACACACACGCGCTAAAAACACTCACTCGCTCAAACAACACTCGCTAAAAACACTCAAAACACTCGTTCGCTAAAAACACTAAAAACACTCGCTCACTAAAAACACTCGCTCGCTAAAAACACTCAAAACACTCGCTCACTAAAAACACTCGCTCGCTAAAAACACTCAAAACACTCGCTCACTAAAAACACTCGCTGCTCAAAAACACTCAAAATACGCGCTCACTAAAAACACTCGCTCAAAAAGACTCTCTCACTAAAAACACTCGCTCGCTCCACCGTCGCCATCACGATCGCCGCCGTCTCCATCGTCACGGTGAGCTTCTCCCTGTCGTCGTCCGCAGAGCCCATCCCCCCGTTCCAAGTGGGGGACCCCCACGTGGGGCCGCTGCTGCCCCCCTCCACCACGGGCCGCCCCCCCCACTCCGCGGTGGTGACGCCGCCCATGCAGGCGCCGTGGACCCCCACCCCCCCGGGGGCCAGGGCCTCCCACACCACCTCCCCGCACGGCGCCAGCACCATGGCCGCAGGACAGCAGGAACAGGTGAGAACGACACACGGAGACGCACGGAGACACACACACACACGCACGGAGACACACACACGGAGACACACACACGCACGGAGACACACACACGCACGGAGACACACACACACACACGGAGACACACACACACACGCACGGAGACACACACACGCACGGAGACACACACGCACGGAGACACACACACACGCACGGAGACACACACACACACGCACGGAGACACACACACACACGGAGTCACACACACACACACGGAGACACACACACACGCACGGAGACACACACACACGCACGGAGACACACACACACGCACGGAGACACACACACACGGAGACACACACACACACGCACGGAGACATACACACGCACGGAGACACACACACACACGCACGGAGACACACACACGCACGGAGACACACACACACGCACGGAGACACACACACACACGCACGGAGACACACACACACGCACGGAGACACACACACACACACGCACGGAGACACACGTGCACACGGAGACACATACGTAGGCACACACGCAGACACATGGAGACACATGAAGACACACACACGGAAACGCACATACAGAGACACACGCACATACAGAGACGTACGTCGGTGTCGGCGATCCTGACTGTGTCACCGGCGCCGTGTGCCAGGACGTGGTGGAGGCGCTGCCCCCACCGGAGGAGGAAGGCAGTGGCTCGAACAGCGGCGATGGCTCGGACCAGGAGGGCAGTGGCGGCGGTGGCGGCACAGCCAGCGGCACCGGTGAGACGGCGCGTCCCGGCGTGCGACCGCACACGGCGGCACACGCACAGCGCCGCACGCACAGCGGCACACAGACAGTGGCGCACGGCGGTGGCAGTCGGCACAGTTGCGACTGTGTCTCCGTGCCGGTCTCTTTGTGTCGTGTCATCGTTCTTGCCTCTGTGCCATCGTCAGATTACAATAATAACTAGAACACGAACTGTAAAATTTCTACAGGGCTCAAAATGCGATCTCACACGGCCGCTTTTGTGGTTCACCGCTCGCATCTCTCTCTGTCTCTGCGCCTCTCCCCGCGCCGCACCGCGGTAGCCGTCAGGGAAGGAGCGGCGAAGCCGGTCCCCGTGCCGGCCGCCAACGGCTCCATCGCGGAACGCTCCTCCTGCGAGAACTCCGCCTTCGGCTGCTGCCCCGATGGGCGCACCCTGGCCACCGACCCCGCCGCCTCCGCCTGCCCAGGTGCCGGGGGCCACGCGGCAATGTGGGGGTCACGTGGTGGTGACGTGGGGGTCACGTGGGGGTGACGTGGGAGCGATGTGGGGATGACGTGAGAACGATGTGGGGGTAACTCGGGGTAAAGAGGGTGATGATGAGTGAGTGAATGAATGAGGGGGTGAGTGAGTGGTCGAGTGGATGAGTGAGTGAATGAATGAGGGGGTGAGTGAGTGGTCGAGTGGATGAGTGAGTGTGCGAACGAGTGAGCGAACCGGTTACGCGTACTTGCTTGCCGCGTCGCTGAGCGCCTCTTCACGTGAGCGTGTGCCGTGGCGATGTGTGCACGTGTGTGTGTGTGTGCGCGTGTGTGTGTGTGTGCGCGTGTGTGCGTCTGCGCGCGTGTGTGTGTGCGTGTGTGTGTGTGCGCGCGTGTGTGTATGCGTGTGTGTGTGTGCGCGTGTGTGTCTGCTCGCGTGTGTGTCTGCTCGCGTGTGTGTCTGCGCGCGTGTGTGTCTGCGCGCGTGTGTGTCTGCGCGTGTGTGTCTGTGCGTGTGTGTGTCTGCGCGTGTGGTTGTCTGCGCGTGTGTGTCTGCGCGTGTGTGTGTCTGCGCGTGTGTGTGTCTGCGCGCGTGTGTGTCTGCGCGCGTGCGTGTCTGCGCGCATGTGTGTGTGTGCGCGCGTGCGTGTCTGCGCGCGTGTGCGACCGCGTGCAGCGACGCGCGTCGTGCTGGCCCAGCTATCGATCGAGGAGCTGGAGGGCGCCGAGACGACGTTCGGACCGTGGCTCTCGGACCCAACGTCCGAGCAGTTCGCCGAGACGCGGAGCAGCACCGAGAACGGCGTGAGTGTGTGCGCGCGTGTGTGCGTGTGAGCGTGTGCGTGCGCGCGTATGCGCGTGTGGTCAGGGCACTGTGCGTTGAACCAGGCAACGCAAGTTTGAGTCCCTCTTACACCCAACACTGCCGACAATTATCTGAACCGGTCCTGGGCCTACCCCCAGGTCGACGCAGCATTAAACGAGTACCTGGTGCGGTGTGTAAACATCGGCAATGGGGAGACAAAGGCGGCCGGGCGTGGTGCCGGCCACCAATCCCCCACGTGTACCGTTCCAGCCTTCATAGGTGCCGCTCGCGAACAACACTTGCCCCGACGGCCTGTCAAGGCTTCCCGGTGGGCGGGGGTCTTTGTCTTTGTGTGTTGCAGCTCAGCGACCTGCTGCAGCACTCGGAGGTGCGCAAGTGGTTCCGCAGCGCCCGCGTGCTCCGCTTCGCGTCCGCGCCTTCCAACGGCCACGTCCAGGCCGACGTGGAGTTGCACTTTGACCCCAGTAAGAGCCATTCGGACGCGGCGGAGGATAGCAGAGCTAGAATGCTCCACTGGTGGTGGTGGTGGTCGTTGCGATGGTGGTTGTGGTTTCTCGTGGTGGCATTAATGGTGGTGGTGTTGGTGGTGGTGCAGGAAGAAGCGTTGCCAGTGGTCGTAGTAACAGTAGTGCCAGTGGTAACCGTGGTGATAATGGTCACGGTCGTGGTAACGCTCATGGTAACGGTAGCCGTATCGATAGTGATGTTGGTAGTGGTATGGTATTCGTGGCGGCAGTGGCGGTAGCGGTGGCGGTAGTTGCGGTAGCGGTGGCAGTAGTGGTAGTGGTTGCGGTAGCGGTGGTAGTGGCGGTAGCGGCGGTATTGGTGGCTGTAGAGGTGGTGATTTTATGTGGCGGTGGCAGCAGCAGTAGCAGCGCTTGCACTCCGAGCCTGCGCCCCACGTCTCCACACCCAGACTCGCACGTCTCGGCGGACGCGGTGCGGAGGGCGCTGCTCAAGGTGCTGCGCTCGCAGAGGAAGAGAGGCATCGTCGTGACGAAGCCCGAGCAGGGACACGTCTCGCTCCTCATGCCCGGTACGGCCCGCACGCCACGGGATCGTGGGAGACCGCGCGGGATCGCGGGGGATCGCGCGGGATCGAGCGCCCAGCGCTCACCGGGTCAGACACGGAGATCCCCGCGACCGACGCGCGACCTCTCTCCCCCTCCCAGCGACGCCGCCCCCGGCGGCCGCCGCCGTCTCCTCGCTCCCGGCCGCGGCGGCGACCGCCTCCGCGGTAACTCGGCAGCGCGCCGCTCCTCCCGCCGCTCCTCCCGCCGCTCCTCCCGCCGCTCCTCCCGCCGCTCCTCCCGCCGCTCCTCCCGCCGCTCCTCCTCCGGCGGCGCCGTCCGCGGCTCCGCCGCCGAAGCAGCAGCGGCCCCGGCCGCAGCAGAGCGACAACTGCGCCATCAACCCGTGCCTCCACTGGGGCCAATGCCGCCCCGAGAAGCCCTCGGGCTACACCTGCATCTGCCCCGTCGGGCGCGGCGGCGCCGTGTGTGAACAAGGCAGGTCCAGCACCCCCTGGCCCCCTCGTTGATGCGTTCATAGGTCATACTGCATTGGCAGTCGCCTTACAATTAAAATAATAGTAAATTATTATTAAAATCATAGGCGACGTTTCTGGCAGAGATCGTTACACTCGTACAAAGACTCCCCGTATAGCTTTTAACAGCGCCTTTAGTGAGCGGCAGGAGCGAGCACCGCCCGCGCCCGCGCACATTTGTGTACGTTTGCGTTGCGAAGCGATGTTCTAACCCCACCGTCGGCGGGGCTCCGCAGAGGTCCACTACCACCAGCCGGCGTTTGGCGGAGAGTCCTTCCTGGCCTTCGAACCGATTGAGGCCTTCTACACGTTGCGCGTGAGCCTGCAGTTCCGCTCGATGCAGCCCAAGGGCCTCCTGCTCTACAGCGGCCAGGCGCAAGTCCGCGACTTCTTCTCGCTCGCGCTCGTCAACGGAGTCGTCCAGCTGCGGTCAGCGACCACCCAGCCCCCCTGACTCCCCACCCCCCGCCAAGAACAACTTTTATTCGATACAAATGAATTAAAATGGGCGCGGTGACCCGCCAACCCTCGCCTCCACAGTGCTCGGTTGCAGGCCACGTGACGCCTTGCCCAAGCTTGTCCGTGCTGTGTTGAACTTGCCTCGTGCCGTGCGTAGCCAACCGCGTGAATCAGACGTGAGGTTTATAAAGAAATTCGTTTTCAATTTAGAAAACGTGTTTTTAGTGTTGAAAAATTGGGAGGAAATTATGTAGTCACGTAATTTATATTTAAATACTTATTAACTTATTTTGAGTGCCTTGCTTACCTTTTATCTGCTTTGCACTCATATCGTTGATTTGTGTTGTTGTGTTCTTGTTATTTTAACTCATTTACTGGACTCATTTACTGGACATCTGTGAAAAAGAGCTTCATAGCTCATCGGATTCCTCCTGCAGAACAAACAAAGATTCTCATTCTGAGAGAGATATTATGAAGATAACACCACGAATAATCGAATTTTGCGAAAGTAAAATCCGTGAATGAACAGCTTTGACTAAAAATATGTTTTTGTATGCACGTTTCACGTCTTTCGCACCGTACATCGCCAACCGCGCTAATCGCGAGTACGGGAGAAGGACAACGAACTAAACACACAAAGCAGCTGTGAAGAAACGAGTTTGTCAATGCAGATGATGATTTCAAAGTGCGCAGCTTCAGTGGCCTCCTAACATCGGAAGGAAGAGCGTTCCAGACGGCCTCGGAAGCGCATCTGACGATCTTCGTCATCCCCCCCCCTCTCTCAGGTACAACCTGGGCTCGGGCATGGCGGTGATCACGAGCCGCGTGAAGCTGCAGCTGGGCCGCTGGTACAGCGTGGAAGTGCAGCGGACCCGCCGCACCGGCTCCCTCTCCGTGGGCAAGGAGCCCCCCGTGGAGGGGGAGAGCCCCCCCGGCTCTGAGGGTCTCAACCTCGACAGCGACCTCTTCATAGGGGGGGCACCCGCCAACGTCATGCAAACGTGAGCGCAAACCGTGGGGGGCGGGGGGCCTGGGGGGGGGGGCGGTGTGGGGTGGTGCACTGGAGGGGTGGTTACTGCGTCGCCGGTAGACGGGATTGGGCGCGTCGTATACAAACAGCCACGTCCACAAAGCGAGCGGCATACCGGACGTGGTGTGCCGGCTGCGAGTACAATTTCCTGATCGCTAACTCGAGACAGATCCGGCTCAAGTGAACCCTGGTTCGTTCTTCCCTCCCCCTCGCTCTGAGAACAACAACAACAACAGCAGCGATGGTAACAATAGCCCTGATGGTGCCGATTGTTGCTGGCCGCATTTCACCGCTTGCGCATTTTCGGGCCTTGCACCCGGCAAACCGTGGTATGTAAAAATAAATAAATAAATTTCGCGGCTGCGCAGACCCCCGATCGCTGCCCCACCACCAATCCCCCTGCGTCCCCTGCCCCTGCCACCCATCGCTGCCTCCCACCAGTGTAAAGCATCAGGCGATGGTGCAGCGGGGACTCACGGGCTGCCTGAGTCAGCTGCTCGTCAACGACGTCGCCTACAACCTGCAGGTAGCCACCCGCCCTCGCGTGTGTGCTGTGCCGGCATTCATAGGTGCTCGCTGACAGCACTTGCCCCAACAGTGTGTGCATGATGGGAATACGTCTGTATGTGTTTGTCGTCCTTTCCCCCGTACCTCCGATTAGCACGGTTGGCTACGTACAGTGGGAGAGAAGTTCCACACACACACACGCACACACATACGTGTGTGTGCGTGTGTGTGTGCGCGTGTGTGAGTACGTGGGGAGCGGTAGGGTAGCGGTTAGCGCGCTGCGCTACGAACCTGGTGACCCGGGTTCGATTCCCGCTCACGGCCAACACCAGTGACGATTATCTGAACCGATCCTGGGCCTCCCCTAGGTCGACGCAGCCTCAAATGAGTCACCCTGTGCGGTGTGTAAACATCACCACTAGGGAGACAAAAGCGGCCGGGCGTGGTGTTGGCCACCCACCCCCTCGTGTGCCGTGCCGGCCTTCGTGGATGCTCGCTGACAGCACGGGAACAGTCTGTGAAGGTTACGTGGAGGATCTTTGTCTATATTGTTCTTACTAACAGCACTTGCCCCTACAATCTGCTAAGGCTATACGGGGGATCTTTGTCTTTATATTTGTGTGTGTGTGTGCGTGTGCGTGTGTGGAAACAAGACATGAGTGAGTTTCTGGCTGAAATGAGCATTGAGACATTCGTGCTGATCTCCCGTTTACAGCCCTGCAAAGCCAGTGGTGTAAATTCCACATGCCTATGATGGGGATGAGTACTGTATATCCACAGGACAACCGCTGTTGACTTCCCCACAAAGTAGTACTCGTGTTATCCACCCCAGAGGGATTATGATCGTGATGATTTGAACTCGCGATCTTCCGCGTCGCTCGCGAGCCGCGGCGTTCACGCTGGCGCCGTTGTGAAGTTCCAGGGTGGCGAGGTGCGGTACGGCCAGGGCATCGGGGAGTGCGGCAACAACCCGTGCCGCCCCAACCCGTGCCGCAACAAGGCCGTGTGCCAGATGAGGGAGGCGGAGGCGTACCAGTGCATCTGCCAAGAGGGGTTTACCGGTGAGCACACACACACACATGCACGCACACACACACGCACACACGCACATACACACACACCGCTGGTACCAGTCATCGGCAAGTCCACTCAGCTCCACGTCCTCCTGTACCACATCACTCCATCTCTTCTCTAGCCCGTGCTGCGCCCGTTTAGCCCCCTCGATCCGGCCGAACAAAAGCTGTTTCGGCATGGGGTTGGCTGGGCATGCGGGCTACATGACCCAGCCAACGCAGCCTTCCCCGCCGGAGGAGCTCACCGATGGGACCTTGCCCAGATCTTTCAAGGATTTGTGAGCTCCTCGCACAATCCAGTCTGGTTAAACCCACGATGGATCGTAGGCAGACCAGCCTAAATGTTTCTAACACACACACGCACACACACACGCACACACGCACACACGCACACACGCACCCACACACACACGCACGGACATGCATTCTCCACCGCCACCTCTACCACCGCCTCCTCCACCACCTCTACCACCGCCACCTCCACCACCTCCACCACCATCACCACCTCCACCACCTCCACCACCACCACCTCCACCACCTCCACCACCTCCACCACCTCCACCACCACCACCTCCACCACCTCCACCACCTCCACCACCTCCACCACCTCTTGTTTATCCCCCACCGCCCCCAGGCCCGACGTGTGCCGACTCGACCAGCAGTGCGTGTGAGCCCAGTCCCTGCCACCCGGCATCGCGCTGCCACGTGCTGCCACGGGGCGGCTTCGAGTGCGAGTGCCCGCTGGGGCGCGAGGGCAAGCTCTGTGACCGAGGTGCGTGACGCGTGTGTGCGTGACGTGTGTGTGTGTGTGTGATGCGTGTGTGTGTGATGCGTGTGTGCGTGACGCGTGTGTGCGTGACGTGTGTGTGTGTGTGTGATGCGTGTGTGTGTGATGCGTGTGTGCGTGACGCATGTGTGTGTGACGCGTGCGTGCGTGACGCGTGCGTGCGTGACGTGTGTGTGCGTGACACGTGTGTGCGTGACGTGTGTGTGCGTGACACGTGTGTGCGTGACGTGTGTGTGCGTGACACGTGTGTGCGTGACGTGTGTGTGCGTGACACGTGTGTGCGTGACGTGTGTGTGCGTGACACGTGTGTGCGTGACGTGTGTGTGCGTGACGTGTGTGTGCGTGACACGTGTGTGCGTGACGTGTGTGTGCGTGACGTGTGTGTGCGTGACGTGTGTGTGCGTGTCACCCGGCGGAGCGGTGGCGCGGTGGTTGGCGCGCTGCGCCACGAACCCGGCGACCCGTGTTCGATTCCCACTCATGGCCATCATCGGTGATGAATACCTGATCGGGGTCCTGGGCGTCCACTAGGTCGACTCAGCCTCAAATTAGTACCTGGTGCGATGCACAAATAACATGAGCATTGGGGAGACAAAGGCGGCCGGGCGTGATGTTGGCCACCCACCCCCTCGTGTACCCTGCTGGCCTTCATAGGTGCTTGGTTGAGAGCATTTGGCCCGACACTGTTGAAGACTCCACGGGGGATTTTTGTCTCTGCAGCTGTGCCATCGAGTCAGGCCGGGGCCCTAGCGCCGAGGTTCCGGTCGACCTCCGCGTTGCCTTGCGTGGCGAGCGAGCCGCACTCACCAGCCTTGTCCCCTCCTCCCAGACGTGGCGGTGGACAAGACCGCGGCCTTCATCCCGGCCTTCAACGGCCTCACGTCGTACATCGAGCGCGAGAGCCTGGAATCCGTCAGCTCCACGCACCAGTGAGTGGCGCTGGGGTGGAGGGGGGGCGGGGGGCACGCGCGCCACTCCGCCGCCCGCGTGCCCTCACATCTCAGCCGCCACGTCATCCCGCCCACGTCATCATCGTCGTGGTCGTGGTCGGGTGAAGGCCTCGCCAAGCCGTCGTCATCTGTCACGGCCTCGCGATGCCACGATCCATCCAGCTCCTGTGCGCGAGCGGTGTCCCTCGGTGAATCTCGGTACGGTTGTTCGACAGCTGCGGGGGAGCGAGCGAGGAGGGGGAGAGGAGGAGGAATATTTCTTCGTTGGCTCCGAGGTCAGCGGTTAAACTATCGCGGTCTCGGCGGGGGTGGTGGGGGGGAGCGGCAGAGGACGCACGGTGTACGGTGCATCCGCAACGGCGTTCTGGAATTGGCGGCAGCCGTGCGGTTCCCGCCATCGGCTGCAACTCCGTCGCTAGTCTCGACCGCGCCGGCCGTCTTCGCTCGACGGTGACGAATTCCCCTCCCTCCACCCCGCCCCCCCCTCCCCTCCCACCGCAGGAGCAAGCTGACGCTGGAGGTGTCCTTCCTGAGCCAGGAGAAGGACGGCATGATCCTCTACAACGGCCACCAGACGGACGGGCGCGGGGACTTTGTGTCCCTCAACCTCGTCAACGGCTTCCTGGAGTTCAAGTTCGACCTGGGCAAGGGCCCCGCCGTCATCAGGTGCGGGGCGCTGCCGGCTCGCGGGACACCGGGGGGGGAGCGGGGGGGGGGGGGGTCCTTTGGCGGCTTTCCATGGCAAGCAGAGCGTGCAGCTGTTCCCGTGTGCAAGTACGCGCCTGTGTGTACGCGCCGGTGTGTACGCGCCGGTGTGTACGTGGGAAGCTGGCTTTGATTCTCGCTCAAGGTCGACTCAGTCTAACATGAGTACCTGGTGCGGCTATATGGGGATCTTTGTCTTTCTGTATGTGTCTACTCATGTATATGTATGCCCGTGTATGCCTGTGTGTGCCCACGTGTATGTGTGCCTGTGTGTGTACCCGCGTGTGCCCGCTTGTGCCCGTGTGCTCGTGCCCGTGCCGTGGGGCGACGAGCAGGAGCACCGAGCGGCTCCCGCTGGGCGTGTGGCACGTGGTGCGTGTGCAGCGCAGCGGTCGCTCCGGCTCCATGACCATCAACCAGGGCCGCCCGCTCACCGGAGAGTCCCCGGTATGCACGCACGCACACACACGCACGGACGGACACGCACGCACACGCACGGACGCACACGCACACGCACGGACACGCACGCACACGCACGGACACGCATGGATGGACACGCACGCACACGCACGGACGGACACACACACGCACGGACACGCACGGACGGACACGCACGGATGGACACGCGCGCACACGCGGCCCATCCACACGCGACCGCGCCAGCTTCCAGATTCACCAAACATGCGCGGATTTTCCATCGCGTTTGTCGTTGGAGGTTTTGAATCCGCGCCACGGAAGCCGAGGAGTGGCCGTCCGGGGCGATCGGCGTTCCCGGGCGGATCGTCGTCACGACACTTACCGTGCCCCCCCCCCCCCGTTGCTATCGCATGAACACTCTCAACTTTAAAGCATTCACAAATACCGCACGGACCATGACCGTGTCTCTCCATCTCCCGCCCCCCCCCCCCATAGAGCCCCCACACGTCACTCAACGTGAAGGAGCCATTCTACATCGGGGGAGCGCCCGACTTCAAGAAGTTTGCACGGGCGGCCGCCATCACCACGGGGCTCACAGGCGCCATCCAGCAGGTGCGCCGCACCCGCCACGCCTGGGACTTTTAAGGCCGAGTTGATCTAGGGGAGGTCCGGGACCGGGTCTAATATCGGCCCGCCACTGATGTTAGCCGTGAGCAGGAACTTAATGACCGTGACCGATGATGATGGTGCTGTTAGCGAGAGCCTGGTCAGAACAAATTTTCGGCCACCTTTGTCTCCCCTGCGGTAATGTGCAGTGATTACGGCACCTGGGAAACGTTTGGCTAACATTGGTGGAAAGTTGTGGTTGAACGTCTACTGGACGTACCATACAACGATTCCGCGCATGGCCAACACCAGTCACGAATATCTGCCGGACGAGCTACTGTCCACACCCCCCCCCCCCCCCCCACCGTGTGCTGTGTCGGTCTGAATAGGTGCTCGCTAACAACACTTGACCCAACAAAAGTCTGTTCGGGCTATACGGGGGATCTTTGTCTTTGTGTGTTTGTGAGACGTGGAGGGGGTGGGGATGTGGATGGGTGGAAAAAAATACTTTTCAGGAAATATTCCTGGAATGGTTTGTTGATGTTTGCGTTGGTTTTGTGAGATTTCTCCACCAGATTTGATTTGTTTGTTAGCCTTTGCCAAAAGGATGCTCGTGGACTGGTTTACACCAAAGATCCCCCACGTAGCCTGATCAGACTGTTGGGGCAAGAGCTGTCAGCAGGCACCTGTGAAGGCCGGCACAGCATACGAGGGGGTGGTGGCCAGCACCACGCCCGGCCACCTACGTAGTGGCGGACACGTCGGTGTTATAGCTCGCAAATGCGTTCCGCCCGCTACCAAAACAAATTCCATAACACCGACCTGGAATGCCGTTCTGGATGGACCATCACATCGTACATCCTCGCCCACGCCACCCCCCCCCACCGCGAGGGTTTAACCGCCGACCGTAGGAGAAAATGACGGAACCTTCTCCTCTCCCCCTCCGCGCTCGCTCCCCCGCAGCTTTCGATTGGTGGCACGGTCGTGCCGAGCCTCACCGAGGGGCACCGCGCCGCCGTGGACATCACCAACTTCGTGCAGCACCCGTGCACGTCCGGCCAGAACCCGTGCCGCAACGGCGGGCAGTGCCGGCCCCAGCTGGAGCTCTACGAGTGCCTGTGTCCACGCGGATTCTCCGGCCGCACCTGTGAAAACGGTGAGGCCCGTGGACTTGGCGGCGGTGGTGGTGTTTGTGCGGCCACCATTTAATTTCTGCGTCTGCCCGTTGACCCCCCCTGAGAGACAAAACTGGAAATGTAGGCAGGATAATCGCCGGATTTGTTTGTTGTTTGTTTGTTGTTGTTGTGTTTGTTTAATTGTCGTCGTTGTTGTGGTTATGCCAACAGCCCTGGAGCAGCGGGATCAGAGTGACAGCGTCGCGATTGCGTTCGATGGGAAAACTCACGTGGAGTTTTACAACGCCATCAAGCACAGGTACGACTTTACATACCTGTGGAATGTCACCACGTGTGCGTGTGCTTCACCACGTATGCCCGTGTTTCACCTCGTGTGCTTCACCACGTGCGTGTGCGTCACCATGTGCGTGCGTGCGAGCGCAGCGTGAAGTCGCAGCAGAACAACTCGCTGGTGCTGAGCGTGCGCGCCGGCGGCAGGCCGGGCCTGCTGCTGTGGCAGGGCAAGGCCCGCGAGGGCTCCGATTACCTGGGCCTCGCGCTGAGCGGCGGCCGCGTGCACTTCACCTGGTACCTGGGCTCCCGCCCGGGCCTGCTGTCCGCTCCGCTGCCCGCCGACTCCAAGGCCTGGGTCCGCATCAAGGCCTGGAGGTGCGTGGCGCGGTGGTGGCACGTGCGGCCTCCGTGGTGGCGGTGGTGGACCTCTCTGTGTCTGCGTGTGTCTATATTGTGTGTGTCTATATTGTGTGTGTGTCTATATTGTGTGTGTGTCTATATTGTGTGTGTCTATATTGCTATTGTAGGGAGCGGTGGGGCGGCGGTTAGCGTGCTGCACTGCGAACCCGGCGACTCGAGTTCGATTCGCGCTCACGGCCAACACCAGTGATGAGTATCTGAACCGGTCCTCGGCTTCTATTAGGTCGACTCAGTCGAAAATCAGTACCTGGTGCGGAGTGTAAACATCAGAACTGGGAAGACAAAGGCGGCTGGCCTTGGTGCTGGCCACCCACCCCCTCGTGTGCCGTGCCTGCCTTCGTGGATGCTCGCTGACAGCACGGGAACAGTCTGTGAAGGTTACGTGGAGGATCTTTGTCTATATTGTTCTTTATTGTACTGTACTTGGCTGCAGGCACCAGCAGGACGGGTGGCTGCAGGTCGGGGACGCGGAGGCAGTGACGGGGACGGCCGCGGGCGGAGCCACGCAGCTCGACACGGACGGGGCCCTCTGGCTCGGCACGTTGCACGCCCCGCACGCAGACACACCGCGACACACACAGCACGTCCACTTTCCTGCCCATTCACCCGACCCCACTCACACCCCCCACTCGCTCACCAACTCGGTAACTCGCTCGTGCGCTCACCAACCGTGTCATCCACCCGTCTCACTCACCGACTCATCCGCCAACTCACTCACTCGTCCACTGATTGTGTCGTGTGACGACGTGCTTTGTGACGATGTACCACGTGACGCGTGCCACGTGACGATGTGCTTTGTGACGATGTACCACGTGACGATTTGCCGTGTGACGACTCATGCCGTGTGACGACGTGCCGCGCGACGATGTACCACGTGACGCGTGCCACGTGATGACGCGTGCCGTGTGCCGTGCAGGCGGCACGGCGGAGCGGCGTCGTGCGCCGCGCCTGCCGCCCGGCTCCACCGTGGGCCTCGTGGGCTGCGTGCGCGACCTCGAGGTGGGGGGCCACCCCGTGGACCTCCTCGCCGACGCCCTCCACCGGCCCCCGCTGCTCCACTGCTCCTCCTCGCTCTGACCGCCCCCACTGTGACGCTCCGGTACGCTCACGCACACACGCACGCTCAACTACACGCACGCTCGCGTACACACATGCACACGTACACGCACGTTCACACACAACAGCAGCCGCCATTCGCCCCGAGTGGCGGTGACGTCACCACGGCGCTTGTGCCGGGCTGTGTGCACGTTAAGGCCACGTGAAGTGTCGAACGCCCGCTGGCAAAAGGTCACGGGACAGAGCCAGGTGCCATGGGTTGACTGACTGAGATGAGTGGCCGATGCACCACCTGTGCCCTCTGCTATGCCAGCTTGCTGTGTTTTAGTCGCCTGGTGCTCGTTGTGAGCGTCGCTCCTCCACCCTCCGTTGTTGTTGGAGGGCGACTGCCTCCAACTGCCCGGTAGCGTCCTTCACGAGCCTCCTCCACAGAGGCTGATCTTGACACCGCTGGTACCAGTCATCGGCAAGTCCACTCAGCTCCTCGTCCTCCTGTACCACATCACTCCATCTCTTCTTTAGCCCGTGCCGCGCCCGTTTAGCCCCCTCGATCCGGCCGAACAAAAGCTGTTTAGGCATGCGGTGGCTGGGCATGCGGACTGCATGACCCAGCCACATACACAAATATTGTCACACACACTCACACACATTCTCACACATTCTCACACACACACACTGATGATTCTGCTCGTGGTGCAGGGTCGCATGCGTGGAGCACTCCCCTTGGGTTCCTGGATGCCACACGGAGACCTCTCAGCTCCAACTGCTCCACCCAATTACTCCAAGCTCCTCCTGGGTCCAGCAAGCTCCTCCTGGGTCCAGCAAGCTCCACCTGGCTCCAGCCATTCCTCATTGTGAATGCTGATCCAGTGTTCTTAGCAGCTTCACATTTACAAAGTGCACCCAATAAAATGTAATCGATATTTTTGTGACTGCATTGGTGCACAAGCACAATTAACAAAAATAAACTCAACACGTTCCGTGTCGGTAACAACACTGTGGCCTTAAAGGGAAGGAAAAAAATATACAATTGGCCTCTTGTATGTTTTTTTCCTCCATAAAAATCAGGCAGGCCCATGCGCGTTTTGATTGGTTAGCGAGCGTCGAGGTGCACTGTGCATAGTCGTATGGGGGTGGGGTGGGTGGGTGATGCGCGTGTTTTTTTGGGTACGCTCTGTAAATGTGCAACTCGGATGCGCATGATTGACGTGCACGACGGATGTGGAAATTTGTCATCAGGAGGGACGCATCGATTCATCGGTTAAAATCGATTCTTATGCCCACGGTGCATTCATAGAATCGTCTGCGTAAGAGTTGATTATTTTTTACTCATGTTTTTTATACCACTATAGATTATATATTCATACCACTGTAGATTCTACACGCACCGCAAAGGATCGATTGGTCAATCGAATCGTGGAGCGTTGAATCGTTAAATCACTGATGATTACATTTAAATTCTTTAATGACGCGCACGCCGATACGCACTCATTTACACACACACACAGCGCACACGCGGACAAAGATCCCCCTTGTAAGCCGAAACGGCTCGTTGGGGCAAGTGCCATTGGCAAGCACCTGAGAAGTCCTGACGGCACACGAGGGGGAATCGATCCGGTTTCTCCCACGTGGAACCAGTCTGTTCGGGGCTGGGGTTCTGAACAACCCCGGGGGGCCCGGGGGGGGGCCCGAGGGGGGGGGGGCCCTGCCACGTTTTGGCCGTGGGAGAAAACCCCCCGAGGAAGCCGCAGGGAAGCCGTGCGCAGACCAGGGGGGAGAGAGGGGAAGTGTGCATCCTCCACACGGGAAGGCGTCCCACGTTGGGGATCGAACCCAGGTGATTGTAGCCGTGGGGGTGCGGGGTTGTCCCTGCCCCGCTGCCCCGCTGCCGCACTGCCGCCTGCGATGGGAGTCGAGGCAACCAGCACCACGCAGCTGCGATGACGATGATGCCATGTCCGTGCCGTTCTTAATCGAGAGTCTGTCCCAAGACCCCCCCCCCATGCCCGTCGCTAGCCACGCGAGGGTGTTGAGGTTGGAGGGGGGGGGGGGCTTGAGACTGCCCCCCCCCAAATTCACTCATCCACCCCCCCCTCTCCACCACCGCCAAGTCACCACTAATCTGCTCCTCATCACCGCCTAGCCGACACCGTCGCCAGGGAACGCGCCTGCCTGTTAACACTGCGTCGTTGTCGTCGTGATCTTCGTCGTCGTCGTCGTCATCGTTATTATTATTTGTATTATTATTGTTGTCTTGTTGTTGTCGCGAGCGCGTTTGCCATTGACCGTCGTCGTCGTTGTTGTGAGTCAGAGGAGCACTGAGTGTCGGGCAGGTGAGTGTCGGGCAGGTGAGTGTCGGGCAGGTGAGTGTCGGGCAGGTGAGTGTCGGGCTGGTGAGTGTCGGGCTGGTGAGTGTCGGGCAGGTGAGTGTCGGGCTGGTGAGTGTCGGGCAGGTGAGTGTCGGGCAGGTGAGTGTCGGGCAGGTGAGTGTCGGGCTGGTGAGTGTCGGGCAGGTGAGTGTCGGGCTGGGGGCCCTGCACCACTCCCTCCCTGCCCCCCCCCCTATATTTGGGAGCGTTTTGTAATCCCCGATAGCTCAAGGTGTGTATATTGTGGCGTTCTACTAATTTTGTATCTGTTTCTACTCGCGGGTCTTCTTGCTGATGTAACCTGCACTGCAGAACTCAATAAACGGATATCTCCTCACCTCGTCACTCCTCCTCACCCCGCCACTCCTCTCTGTCTCTGTGTGTCTCTGTGTCTCTCTGTCTCTCTATGTGTCTCTGTGTCTCTCTGTCTCTGTGTCTCTGTGTCTCTCTGTCTCGGTGTCTCTCTGTCTCGGTGTCTCTCTGTCTATGTGTCTCTGTGTCTCTGTCTCTGTGTTTCTCTGTCTCTGTGTTTCTCTGTCTCTGTGTCTCTCTGTCTCGGTGTCTCTCTGTCTCGGTGTCTCTCTGTCTCGGTGTCTCTCTGTCTATGTGTCTCTGTGTTTCTCTGTGTCTCTGTCTCTGTGTTTCTCTGTCTCTGTGTTTCTCTGTGTCTCTGTCTCTGTGTTTCTCTGTCTCTCTGTCTATGTGTATCTGTGTTTCTCTGTGTCTCTGTCTCTGTGTTTCTCTGTCTCTGTGTTTCTCTGTGTCTCTGTCTCTCTGTCTCTGTGTGTCTCTGTCTCTGTGTCTCTCTGTCTCGGTGTCTCTCTGTCTATGTGTCTCTGTGTTTCTCTGTGTCTCTGTGTTTCTCTGTGTCTCTGTCTCTGTGTTTCTCTGTCTCTGTGTTTCTCTGTGTCTCTCTGTCTCTGTCTCTCTGTCTCTGTGTCTCTGTCTCTGTGTTTCTCTGTCTCTGTCTCTGTGTCTCTGTGTCTCTCTGTCTCTGTGTTTCTCTGTCTCTGTGTTTCTCTGTGTCTCTGTCTCTGTGTTTCTCTGTCTCTGTGTTTCTCTGTCTCTGTGTTTCTCTGTGTCTCTGTGTCTCTGTGTTTCTCTGTGTTTCTCTGTGTCTCTGTGTCTCTCTGTGTCTCTGTCTCTGTGTCTCTCTGTCTCTGTGTCTCTCTGTGTCTCTGTCTCTGTGTCTCTCTCTGTCTCTGTGTCTCTCTGTCTCTGTGTCTCTTTGTCTCTGCTGAAGCCCTCTCTCGTCGTGGCAGTAGCAACAGCAGCGCACCTCGACGCCGCACCCGGCTGCGACCGTCGAGGGCCACGAAGCGAATGAGTTACTTTAGGCGATGAAGCTGATGAGGCAATTGGGTCGGGGTGGGCTGGGTAACGAGACGAGCGCTGCTGGCGACAACCCAACCCAGGGGCAGCGCCTTGGACGTCCCCCGGGTGGAACCGGCGTGGCCCGGGCAGAGTGCTCACCGCGGAGAGGCAGCCACGCCGGAGCACTTCACAAGTGTGGCCAAGCAAACGAACAAGAAGGCAACCACAACAGAGCGAGGAGGTAACGTGACGAGGCCGTTTATTGACGAGTGTGCCGCTGTGCATGACGACGAGGTGGTGACGAGGTGCACGCGACGAGACGACGACGATGATAGCAGCCGCCGTGACTCCGAGAGGGCCGGCGGGCACAGGCGAGGGGCTGTGCCATGGGGTGACGTGTGTGTGTGTACACGTGTGTGTGTACACGTGTGTGTGTGTACACGTGTGTGTGTGTACACGTGTGTGTGTACACGTGTGTGTGTACACGTGTGTGTGTGTGTGTACACGTGTGTGTGTGTGTGTACACGTGTGTGTGTACACGTGTGTGTGTACACGTGTGTGTGTACACGTGTGTGTGTACACGTGTGTGTGTGTGTGTACACGTGTGTGTGTGTGTGTACACGTGTGTGTGTGTGTGTACACGTGTGTGTGTACACGTGTGTGTGTACACGTGTGTGTGTACACGTGTGTGTGTACGTGTGTGTACACGTGTGTGTACACGTGTGTGTGTGTACACGTGTGTGTGTGTGTACACGTGTGTGTGTGTGTACACGTGTGTGTGTACACGTGTGTGTGTACACGTGTGTGTGTACACGTGTGTGTGTGTACACGTGTGTGTGTGTACACGTGTGTGTGTACACGTGTGTGTGTGTGTACACGTGTGTGTGTGTGTACACGTGTGTGTGTGTACACGTGTGTGTGTACACGTGTGTGTGTACACGTGTGTGTGTACACGTGTGTGTGTACACGTGTGTACACGTGTGTGTGTGTACACGTGTGTGTGTGTACACGTGTGTGTCTAAACGTGTGTGTGTACACGTGTGTGTACGAGTGTACACGTGTGTGTGTTTGTTTGCGCATCTGTTAGAGACAGACCTGTGTGTGTGTGCGTGTATGTGGGAAGCGGTAGTGTAGCGGATAGCGCAATGCGCTACAACACCGGCTACCCGAGTTCGAATCCCGGCCACGGCTAACATCATTGATGGCTAATTATATGAACAAACATTTCCTGACACTCCCTTAGCTCGACTGTGCCACAAATAATCATTCCGACGTGCGGTGTGAGCCTCGGCACAGGGGGAGACAATGGTAGCCGAGCTTGGTTCTGACCACACCAACCCCTCGGGTGTGCCGTGTCGGCCTTAATAATAGGTGCTCGCTAACAGCACGATCACGGTCTATGTTAGGTATACGACACAAACACATTATATATGTACACGCGCGCGCAACTAAAATTGACAAGCTATTATTGGCCCAAATCAATCAACTCTGATCTCAGCCCCGACTCGAACCGTTTCCGTCTCACCGAAGGGGTTCCCAAACGTTGATGGACCTGTCCGTGTGGGCGGGTCAACCGTAATCCCACAATCTACCACCACCACCAACACCACCAACAACAACAACAATGATGCTGTGTTCCAAGTGAGAGCGGCTCCACGTCGTGGCATCTGACACAGTTCCACGGACGATTTCTCGAGCGCCTTTCGCGCAACCAAAGTTTAGACGCCCGCTGGGCTCGTCGGTTCATGATTGGTCGACTGGTGTCCCCAACGCAGTAAGACCCTAACCCGGACTCAAACCCTAACCCTGTGCTAAGAGAGGCCCTGCAGGGGAGAGGGATGGGGGGCCGCGGATTGCGAGTTGCTGGCAACAGTCGCCCTAACCGAACAACACAAATAAGCAGACATTACGACCCAGACACATTCCCCTAGGGCCACAAATAACACACACATTTTATATATATAAAGTAGAATGCGGTTCAACGCAAGCAAAACTCCGGACCGGTTTCAACATCCAGTGGCTGATCAGCAGAGGTCGTGTTTGATGGCACCAATCGCTACTGATCAATGGCCGATTGAGTTTTGCACTCCCAGCAGACGGAGTGGCTTATGGGATTTTTGAAACACTTTTTATTGGCCCAATCAGAAAGATCAATATATTTTTTTTATTAAAAATTTGTATTTCAATTAAAAATTATTTGTGGAGGGAACAGATGCGAAGGAGGCGAATTTTCTGCTCGTTATTTTGTATTCTCAACGCCGGCGCCAACGATCATCGATGATCGTTATGGATTATCGTTATCGCTGCGGCGTCTGCAACGCGCCGGTGCTGGCCCCGTAGAACGCGACGCGCTGTGCGAAGTGGAAACGGCTTTAGGGTTGGCGGTAGCTGTGAGCAACGGGGAGCTGCAGGGTTACATCCGCGGCTTGCCGTGTTCTCAGGATGATAAGACGCACTTTATTCCGCTGCATGTTGACACGAGCGTGCGAGTGAGACGGGCCATGCGGAACTCTTTCGACACCGCGTCGCGTCCTACAACCTGGAGAAGAGGGCCGTTCGACAATGAAGCTACAAGTCGCCCCCGCTGAGTCGCCCCCACTGAGTCGCCCCCGCTGAGTCGCTCCCGGCACAAAGGAGACGCTTTGTCAAGGCGCGGTTGGGTCAGGTTTTTTTGGCTACACTTTGAAAATGCGTCGGAGTCGTTTCTCTTTTTGCGTACATTATGCTAAGGGACACACCGCATTGATATGGGAAACATTCAACGAAAGGTTCCCTTGGGTCGTGTACAAATTGTGTACGTTTTGGAAACATGCCACTGGGGTGGGTTGTTTGGGGTACACGGGTACAAGATGCAAAGGTGCGTTTGAATTGAGATTTGGGGATACGCTTTATAAATGTGCCTCTCGCTTGGGTACAAAACAACACTTTTTAGGTGGGCTAGATGTATAAATGTTTGAGGGACACTTTACAAATGTGCGTCTCGCTTGGCTTTGGGAACACGGGGCCACGAACTCAGAAACCGAGAGAGAGAGAGAGAAGCGAACGCCTCTTCGGGTCGCGTCACAATCGCTTTGCTCTCCGATGCGCCGGGCTCACACGTGGGAGCTTTTGGCGTGGCTGGCCGGGCCGGTGCTGTTGCTGTTGCTGGCGGAGGCGGCGGCGGCGGCGGCGGCGGCGCTGGCGGTGGCCGGGTAGGCGTAGTAGCGCTCCTCCTTGCTGCCCGAGCAGCAGCAGAGCAGCGCGCCGCTCACGATGGCCAGCGCAGTGCCCACCCAGCCCGCGAACAGCGAGTAGCCAAAGTTCACCACCCCCTTGAGGCTCTCCTTGTGCGTGCCCACGGGGAACCACGTGGTGGCCACCAGGGTGCACAGGCCTGCAGGGTTACGGTCGTGAGGTTAGTAGGTCATTAGGCCATCGCTCGCAATCCCATCATAAGCATCATCATCATCATCCACCATCATCGTCTTCATAACGTCTTGTGTGATGTCGCCGCTCGCACAAGTCTGTATGTATGTTGAACTTATTTCGCACCGTACGTAGCCAACCGTGCTTATCGGAGGTGCGGGGGAAAGAGGACAAACTAAACACGAACAACAAACGATTGAACACAGCCCTGCGCACAAGCAGCAGCAGCAGTCACGACCTTGCAATGCCACCAGGGTTCTATGTAAGTCGATGGCTCTCTCTGTGAGTCGTCTTGGTCTCTATGTGAGTCTGCGGATCTCTGTGTGAGGCTATAAGTATTATGAGTCTGTGAGTCTATGTGAGTCTGTCTCCATGTGAGTCTGTAGTCTCTATGTGAGTCTCTGTGTGGCTCTTTGGGGGGTTCTCTATATCAACCTGTGTCTCTGTGCGAGTCTGTGTCTTCCTGCGAGTCTATGGTTCTCCACGTGAATCGATGGGTGTCTGTGTCACTACGCGTCTCGATCGATCGATCATGGTCATTCAGTACTTGCTGCCCAGCCGACCTCGACTGTCACGGACTCCTCCACTGAGAGCGCAGCGTTGATGCTCATCGAGGGTGAGCCACAACCCCTTCATCCACGAGGATGAGCAGCAACGCACTCACCCACAAGGGTGAGCAGCAACGCACTCACCCACGAGGGTGAGCAGCAACGCACTCACCCACAAGGGTGAGCAGCAACGCACTCACCCACGAGGGTGAGCAGCAACGCACTCACCCACAAGGGTGAGCGGCAACGCACTCACCCACGAGGGTGAGCAGCAACGCACTCACCCACAAGGGTGAGCAGCAACGCACTCACCCACAAGGGTGAGCAGCAACGCACTCACCCACGAGGGTGAGCAGCAACGCACTCACCCACAAGGGTGAGCAGCAACGCACTCACCCACGAGGGTGAGCGGCAACGCCCTCACCCACGAGGGTGAGCCACAACGCACTCACCCACGAGGATGAGCCACAACGCAACTCACCCACAAGGGTGAGCCACGACGCACTCACCCACGAGGGTGAGCCACAACGCACTCACCCACGAGGGTGAGCCACAACGCACTCACCCACGAGGGTGAGCCACAACGCACTCACCCACGAGGATGAGCCACAACGCACTCACCCACGAGGGTGAGCCACAACGCACTCACCCACGAGGATGACCCACAACGCACTCACCCACAAGGGTGAGTAGCAACGCACTCACCCACGAGGATGAGCCACGACGCACTCACCCACGAGGGTGAGCCACAACGCACTCACCCACGAGGATGAGCCACAACGCACTCACCCACGAGGATGAGCCACAACGCACTCACCCACGAGGGTGAGCCACAACGCACTCACCCACGAGGATGAGCCACAACGCACTCACCCACGAGGGTGAGCCACAACGCACTCACCCACGAGGATGAGCATCACTCCGCCGGCCACCACCCTCTGGGCCTTCTCGGAGGCCGTCTCCTCGCCCAGGCGGATGCATTTGAGGCCCGTGCTGGCGAGCAGGATGGCCGGCAGGCCCAGCACGCAGGCCACCACCATGAGTGCCCGGCACACCTGTATATACACTGACACACACACACACCTGTATATACACTGACACACACACACACCTGTATATACACTGACACACACACACACCTGTATATACACTGACACACACACACACACCTGTATATACACTGACACACACACACCTGTATATACACTGACACACACACCTGTATATACACTGACACACACACACACACACTTGTATATACACTGACACACACACACACACCTGTATATACACTGACACACACACACCTGTATATACACTGACACACACACACACACCTGTATATACACTGACACACACACACCTGTATATACACTGACACACACACCTGTATATACACTGACACACACACCTGTATATACACTGACACACACACCTGTATATACACTGACACACACACACACACACCTGTATATACACTGACACACACACCTGTATATACACTGACACAGACACCTGTATATACACTGACACACACACACCTGTATATACACTGACACACACACACCTGTATATACACTGACACACACACCTGTATATACACTGACACACACACACACACCTGTATATACACTGACACACACACACATACCTGTATATACACTGACACACACACCTGTTTATACACTGACACACACACACACCTGTATGTACACTGACATACACACACACACATGTATATACACTGACATACACACACACCTGTATGTACACTGAGACACATACCTGTATATACACTGACATACACACACATGCAGTAGTAAACCTCTCACCATGCTGTTGGCTCTGAGTCACGGGCTAAACTCCAATCTATCAAGCGGCTGTGACGTCACCGCGGTGATTGTGCCAGGCTAGGTGCACCTTAACCGGCACCAGCGGTATCAAGGTCGGGTTCTGCGAAGGAGGCTCGTGAAGGACGCGACTGGAGGCAGTCGCCCTCCGGCGACCACGGAAGGTGGAGGAGGGAGAGTGGCGGGAGGGTCACACGCATCTGGGGGTCTCGGTCAAGCCATGCCACCTGGGCCATTCTCGTCGCCTCCGGCCACTTTGAGCCTTGCACACAAAATGTGGCCTCGAAGTTAACCTGCACTGGTGCATACGCCCGTGTACACACACTATCTTGTTTGTCCATCAAGTTGATGATGACCATGGCACGTTTGTCATTTTGTTGGGTTTTGTTGAGTGCGCAGATGGCTGAACAGGCCAACCGGAGCCCGGGATTCTCTGTGGCAGCACTGGACAGGTCAGGGAGGATGCCGAGCTCTGAGGTGCAGCCACAAAGTCCTTGCTTGGTAGATTAGCGCTGCTGCCTCTTCAAGATAGCACAGGAGCTTCTCATGCTCTCACAGAGGCCTGCACCGTTGTTGTATATATAGACAACACCGTCCCGTACTTCTCTTCTCCAGGCAGGTCGGTGCTGAGCTAGGGGGTTCACAGCTTTTCAGGTCGAATCCAAAACTCTTCAAGGAAGCTTTAAGGGTGTCCTTTGTAGCGCTTTTTGGGGCCACCTTGCGCTCGCTTGCCATTCTTCAGCTCGCCAAAGAAGACTTGTTTTGGCAGTCTTGCGCAGGGCATTCTGGTCACGTGGATAGTCCATCTAAGCTGTTCCTTCGCAAGCAAGGTGTGGATGCTGGGGATATTGGCCTTGCTGAGGGCTTCCGTGTCAGGGATTCTGTCTTGCCAATTGATCCTCAGCAGTTTCCTCAGACAGCTCAAGTAGAGATGATTCAATTTCTTGGCATGGCGCTGGTAGACTGTCCAGACCTGGCACCCATACAGAAGAGTTGGTAAGACAACAGCCTGGTAGACCTTCAGTTTTGTCTCCTGCTTGATGCCAGTCCTTTCCCATACCGAGTCACGTAGACGTCCAAAGGCTGCACTGGCCTTGACAATCCTGATGTTAACTTCATCAGGATTTTGATTTAAAGCTTTCGTGACTGCAGTAATTCATATTCTTAGTTTTTTCGGTAAAGTCACGTTGAAGAGAAACAACAAAATAACAAAATATATATAAAACAATAAAAAAATTCTCACGACGTTTCGACCATAACTCAAACGGTCATCATCAGGTGTGTCGGTTTGCATAAATTTATTTTGAAAACGGCATATTTATTTATATATATAAAAATAACGTTTGCGTCACGCGCAACGATGGCAGTTTGCCAGGACTAGTCCATCTATTTTTTGAAAAGAGGAGGGGGGAGACGAAATTTGTTTTTATGTATGCTGTCTGAAAGGCACTGTAAGCGTGAACAATCAATCAAGAACTGAAATGATTTATCAAATCTTTCCAATGATTGCTAAGATAGAATCCATCTTCTCGGTTGAAATTGTCTCTGTGTTTGTATATGTGGATAGCCTCATGAACGAATCTCTCATGGAAGCCAGATGGCTTACAAAGAACCTCCGTCTTGGAAAAGTCAATGGCATGTGAGCCTACTGAATTAGAACAATGATCTGCTACGGCCGAGGTGTTGGTCCTACCGTGTTTAAGGTCTGCTTTATGTTCACGAATGCGGTCCGAGATATGGCGTTTGGTTTCTCCAATGTAACTACTACCACAGAGGCAACTTAGTTTGTAGACACCAGGGTATTGTATGTCCGGAATCACATCTTTTACAGACGGAACCAGATCACGGATTTTATGTAATGTGTTGAAACGGACCTGGATCTTGTGTTTATTCAAGATTTTGGAGATCTTTTTTGTGATCCCAGCAATGTAGGGTAAAGTGATGGTTTTGAAAGGCTCCTCAAGAGGGTTCTTCTTCATGGTTTGAGTGATAGCTTTGCGGATTGTATAGTCGGAGTAACCATTAGCCCTAAGAGCTTGGTGTACGTGCTTGAGTTCACTGCTTATGTGTTCCTGGTCGGATATGCATTGGGCTCTATGATACAGAGTCTTGATGAGAGAATTCTTCTGTGATGGATGGTGGTGGGAATCCGGTTTCAGATAAGCATCCGTATGGGTAGCTTTCCTGTAGACAGAGTGGCTCATTGAACCATCAGGTCTCTTTTTAATTAGGACATCCAAAAAAGGTATCTTGCCATCTATTTCGACTTCCATGGTAAATCTGATGGCTGGGTGTATGGAATTGATGTGGTCGAAGAATTTGTCTAGAGCAGGCCGGCCATGTGGCCAGATGACAAAAGTGTCATCCACGCACCTCTTCCATAAGGTTGGGCGCAGAGTGGTGAGACACTGTTTAACCAATACATACTTCACTTGGAATGGAACTTTCTACAAACAAACTGAGGGCACCCCAATGGGCTCCCCCCTTTCTCCAGTTATAGCTAACATTTTCATGGAGAAATTTGAGACTGACGCCATCCAGACTGCCACTCTGCGCCCAACCTTATGGAAGAGGTACGTGGATGACACTTTTGTCATCTGGCCACATGGCCGGCCTGCTCTAGACAAATTCTTCGACCACATCAATTCCATACACCCAGCCATCAGATTTACCATGGAAGTCGAAATAGATGGCAAGATACCTTTTTTGGATGTCCTAATTAAAAAGAGACCTGATGGTTCAATGAGCCACTCTGTCTACAGGAAAGCTACCCATACGGATGCTTATCTGAAACCGGATTCCCACCACCATCCATCACAGAAGAATTCTCTCATCAAGACTCTGTATCATAGAGCCCAATGCATATCCGACCAGGAACACATAAGCAGTGAACTCAAGCACGTACACCAAGCTCTTAGGGCTAATGGTTACTCCGACTATACAATCCGCAAAGCTATCACTCAAACCATGAAGAAGAACCCTCTTGAGGAGCCTTTCAAAACCATCACTTTACCCTACATTGCTGGGATCACAAAAAAGATCTCCAAAATCTTGAATAAACACAAGATCCAGGTCCGTTTCAACACATTACATAAAATCCGTGATCTGGTTCCGTCTGTAAAAGATGTGATTCCGGACATACAATACCCTGGTGTCTACAAACTAAGTTGCCTCTGTGGTAGTAGTTACATTGGAGAAACCAAACGCCATATCTCGGACCGCATTCGTGAACATAAAGCAGACCTTAAACACGGTAGGACCAACACCTCGGCCGTAGCAGATCATTGTTCTAATTCAGTAGGCTCACATGCCATTGACTTTTCCAAGACGGAGGTTCTTTGTAAGCCATCTGGCTTCCATGAGAGATTCGTTCATGAGGCTATCCACATATACAAACACAGAGACAATTTCAACCGAGAAGATGGATTCTATCTTAGCAATCATTGGAAAGATTTGATAAATCATTTCAGTTCTTGATTGATTGTTCACGCTTACAGTGCCTTTCAGACAGCATACATAAAACAAATTTCGTCTCCCCCCTCCTCTTTTCAAAAAATAGATGGACTAGTCCTGGCAAACTGCCATCGTTGCGCGTGACGCAAACGTTATTTTTATATATATAAATAAATATGCCGTTTTCAAAATAAATTTATGCAAACCGACACACCTGATGATGACCGTTTGAGTTATGGTCGAAACGTCGTGAGAATTTTTTTATTGTTTTATATATATTTTGTTATTTTGTTGTTTCTCTTCAACGTGACTTTACCGAAAAAACTAAGAATATTCATCAGGATTGTCAAGGCGGAGTCAATCAAGTGCCAGTGGTGTGAACGAGGATGCATCCATGAAGTTTTCTTGCACTTTGGTAGTTGGAATATCGTGTTGGTGATGAGCAGGTCAAATTCAGAGCATGTTTTCAGCAGCAGAAGACCGTTGCTGTTACATTTTCCAATGCCATGTGCACCTATCACTCCATTCCATTATTGATGATCACTTCCAACTCTGGCATTGAAGTCACCAAGTATCAGGAGTTTGTCAGAGCTGGCTGTGGCAGCAATAATGGCTTCCAGGTCATTATAAAACTTGGTATTTGATCTCGTCAGAGTTGGTAGGGGCATAGACACTGATGATGGTGGCCTCCTTTTTACCCAATAGGTGGAGCTTTAAAGTCATTAAACGGTCGTTTATACCCTTGGGTTGGCTTGCCAGTTGG